AGGCTGATTGGTCTGAATTCCGCTCGATTGCCACATCCCTATCAAACAAAAGCCCCTGCTTAAAAAATATTAACGCTGAAGCCGCGGCGATAAAAACTATTATTCCCTAAAACAGCACAAAAAAATTTCGAGCAAAACTGCCCTACTGGTCCAACCACCTAACTGTGCTTAGAAACAATAAGAAACTTTTTTGGGCTAAATATAAAAAAGATAGGACTGACACAAACCTTATCTATTATAAAAAAGCAAACGCGGCATTCAGAAAAGAACTTAATCGCCAAATATAAATCACTGGAAAGGATTACCGCAAATATTAATCCACACTCAAGCCCAAAACAGGTCTGGGCAGACATAAAAATCCTGACTGGTTCTGCACTATCCTCCTTCATCCCTTTTATTCACTCACCTCAAGGTCCTATATACCCACCAAATGAAATAGCGGAAGAATTTGCCTCTTCTTGGTCAAAACACTCCCACCACTCCAACTTCCACATACACTTCAATACCCTTAAAGAACAAATTACAGCAGAAATCTATGACAACCTTTCTTCCTCTCCCAGCGTTCTAGCGGTAGAAGCTCCAATTACCTCAGATGATTTTGAATCCACAGTATTCAAAATGTCTGGTAAAACTCCTGGTGAAGATAAAATCACCTACCCCATCCTCAAAAACCTTCCCAACTCTTTAAAAACAAGACTCGTCAACTTATACAATGAAATATTTAACAGCGGTGTATATCCTTAAGATTGGAAGATGTCCTCTATCATCCCTATCCCTAAACCCAACAAGCCTCCTTCCTTATAGCTAGCTATACACCGATATCCCTCCTTCCCTGCATATCCAAAATCTTGGAGAAGATAATCTCAACGCGCATTATGTGGTTCGCTAAAACAAATAAATTGTTATCTCCCTACCAATTTGGGTTCCAAAAAGGGATATGTGTTATAGAACCGTTGATATATTTCGAATACTTTGCCTCTACAGCATTAGCAACCAGAAACCACGTCTCTGTATTGAGCTTAGACTTTGAGAAAGCTTTTGATAGAATCGGTGTTCACCTCGTACTCAGAGAACTAAAGCGTTGGAAGATCGGGAAAAAATTTATAATTTTGTAAGGTCTTTCCTAAAAAATCGGAAATTCATCGTTAGTCAATAACCACAAGTCGAGTATTCACAATCTCTATAATGGAATACCACAAGGATCTCCACTCTCGGTTATCCTGTTCACAATTGCTTTTAACGAACTATGCTCAGTAATTGCTTCTTTTAGTCATGTAGAGCATATTATTTACGCCGACGATGTCCTTATCTTTTCCAAGATCAAAGACTTGAGGCAGATTGAATTAAATTTCATAGATATCCTTAAGAGCATAAACATTTGGAGCCAAACCTCAGGTGCTGACATTGCTCTTAATAAGTGCTCCTCATTTCACATATGCAGGAAACATATCTGTTCTTTTCCGCCCCTTTCCCTACATAACATTCCAATACCTCACTCAGACACCTTAAAGATTCTTGGCTTAATATTTGATAAGAGACTTAGCTTTAATCAACATTGTCAGTATATAAGAACTAGTATATTATCTAGGCTAAACATAATTAAATTTCTTTCATCTAAACACTGTTTTGTACACACCAACACCCTTGTAAACATAACCAAGTCACTAATACTCTCAAAAATCGATTATGGTCTTTCAATATACGGCAATTGTGCTAAATCTCATGTCAGACTTACGTGCACCATACCACGCAGCCACAAGAAGGAGTATACGTGCGTTCCCCACGTCACCAGTCAGAGCAGTTCTTACCGAAGCCGGACTACCTGATATCTCGAACAGGACAGAGTACAATACAATGATGCTAATACTCAAACTGCTCCATTGCCGCAATCAGCTGTTATTTACCCAAATCAACTATGTTTTTCTTCATGCACACAAAACTAGGAAAGTATCCGCATTATCACGGTAGTACAGGAAATGGACATAATATCGTCACCAACATTAGTAAATACAGCGTCTCATCCACCTTTCATGATTCCTAAATCTTCATTCGTCACCGTTGTTCAGAATCACCCTAAGAACAAAACCAGCTCTAGCGAGTACCTACAAATATTTAATGAAGCCATACAGCCATACAAAGAGGACTGGGAAATTATATACACCGATGGATCGAAATCTGAACCAGTACAACGTTTGCTGTCACAAACATACTTGGTGCCACCATTACTGTCGGTACTCTGCCCACATACTGCTCAGCTTTCACAGCTGAAGCTGCTGCTCTGCTTGAAGCAGTACTGTACTCCTCTCGCAAAGATGGTAAGAATATTATATGCACAGACAGTAAGTCTTCAATTGAAGCCATTCTTAATCCATCGAATGATTGCCACCTCGTAAACAAAATCCGCCAAACCCTACTTCAGTATGGCTCCATAAAAGTAATGTGGATACCTGGACATACAGGCATTAGAGGAAATGAGATTGCGGATAAAAGAGCCAAAGAAGCTGGCACCGAACCTCTTCTTCTTTTCGATTACCTGACAAATGCAGATATTCGTAAACTCTGCAAAAAACAGCAACACGAAAGTTGGCGAACAGAATGGAGTAAATACCAGCATTTTTATAAAACCTGCAACCCCGATGGTACACGATCGACCTATCCTGCAAACCTGCCTATCAGAGATATGAAAACTTTTGTCAGGCTCAGAATTGGACACACACACATCTACTCAACGGTCAAACTGCACCACCCTGCCCCTCTTGCGGCGACTGCAACCTCACAGTATCACACCTGCTCGATGACTGTCCAGGGCTTCAACACATAAGATCAGCACTGTTTACTAACACTAAACCCTCTGATCATCTTAAATGTATTAATGACATCAACGTTAATATTCTATCACACTTTGTATCTCTAAGTAAATTAAGCATATAGTCAAATATCATCAGTCATAAATTCACACCTACATATATACATCTTTATGTACTAAATATTGTCACCTAAGTATGTTAAAATTTTTTTTCTTTTCTAGCCGACGGCCCTGGCAGCCAGTGCTTTAGATTTAAGTGTAGCAATTATTTATAATTGTTTCTCTTTAAAATAAATAAATAAATAAAATCTAAACACCGAACATAATTTTACAAGTATTAAATTTTTCGTATGAAAAAGTTTCTATGAACTAATAGTATTAGTTACTAAAAACTTCCACGATTCATTATTTCACTATACGTATAAGCAAAATTGGGCAAAATACACATGCACGAAAAATACCAATTTTAGTACATTTATAACAACCTGGCAACCATAACTGAGCGCGACGCACTATTACTATGACAAAATGAGACTGTGTTGGTGTGCCCAGCATTGGTTTACACCAGAGTGTCCAGATTTGGAGATTTCGCGCCAATTTGTCGTTTTTTTTTATATTTGCGCGTACAAATTTAGGAAATCGCCATTGGCGATTTTTTCCCTTCAAATAAATTTTATCCAATTATAAAAATATACAAAACTTAGTTTTCCACGATAATTTTACGGAAGATGCTAATGAACTGCGTGATAAACTTGACTTAAGAAGCATATTAAAAGACTGTCAAAATGTTTAATCACCCTAATCGAAGAACTTTTGAAACGATTACCTAGTCAATTAAATACTTCTAAAAAAGCTTTGGTTTTTTCACCGGAAAAGTGTGTGAATCACAAGAGGACGAGTTTCAGGGACCTGCCAATTCACTATTTGACTTTGAAGGAAAGAAAAGTAGGGGAGACTGAATATTTAAATATTTTAACTTTCCCACAGAATAACTTTTCTCAGAACCATTCCAGCCGACTCTGAAAAAATAAAAGGTTTGGAAATATAAGTAAATTCATATTATTATCCTTGCCGCACTCACATGCTTTGTTGAGAGCGTTTTTTCCGCAATGAATTCAACAAAAACTAAGATTCGAAATTGGATGAGGTTGGAAAGCCTTAATTCAATAGTTCGAATAAAGTATTATATGAAGGCTAATAGTTTCTGCTGCAAAACGTTTCCAATATCAAACAGTATGTTATCAAGGTTGAATAGCTCAATATATGACAACAACAGAAATGTAAATCATTCAGACACTATAGGTGACTTTGAAGAAATTGTGGAAATAGCTGATCTCGCCTTATAGGTTTTTATCTAATTTTTAACGCCGAGCTCTTAAAGACGGAATTTGCGCTTAATAAATTAATATGAGTTCTAATAAATTTAATAATTGCGCAGTCCTATTGCAAAATATGTTGAAACCAATATTGTTTGTACATCACTATTATATAAGTGATTTGTCTTATTTATTATTACCCTCGGAGGGTATTATATTCGTTTTTGGGTTTAAATGTTATATTATAACAAGATCTCATTTTCAAAATAAAAGATTTGTTAAATCGATTTCATGAATTTTATTTAAAAAAAAATTGCGATTTTTGGCGATTTTTTTTCCAGAAATTGCGCCCTTTTTTAAACAATCTGGACACCCTGGTTTACACTATTGAACTGTTCTCTTTTTCCCTGTGTTCGATTTTATGAGAACACTGAAATTACTTTTCTCTTCCATCACAGGCACAGTATAAAATTACCCAACAAGCATTTCAGTAAATGTTAAAATAACTTAAAGTAAGTTTGCTATAATAAGCGTTAAATAAGGATTTTTAATATTAAGCTTATTAAAAGTTTTTTCAAATAAACCTTTAATAAGTTTTGAGAGCGAATGTTTATAAATAACTTAAACTTATAAATGAAATGCAAATGCCAACGACATGAAGTAGTAAATATAAATTTTTTCAATCGTAAGTGACGTGTTTACGTTTTTTAAAATATATTATTAAAAGGAAAAAATTAAATAAAACCAATGCGGTAAAAAAAATCCAATCCAGGACCCGCTGCGCTAATCGGTGCAGCATTCGAGTCTTCAAAAGATGAGTTCTCCTTAGCCTTTCTTAGTTTAACATTCAACTAAAAATGTATTACATTTTTTTTCAGAAAAGTTCATCAATGATAATGGCGACGATGAAGCGGAATATATAGCTGCATCGATGTCGTTTTTCCAATTTGCCAATAACCGCTTGTAATTGAAAGCACGCAACAAGATATAATAATTAACTTTTTTATGCTTAATTTTTGTGTGTTATCGGGAATTTGTATGCTAAAATGTCTATTCCCTATTTACATTTTCGCGACTGTAGATGAGTCCGCCGAAAATTCGCATTTCTTTTAGTTTCTAGATGTTAAGCAATCTATGTATGAGTTTTTATTGAAATATCTTTAAATAAAGGGTTATAAAAATGTTTATAAAAAGCTTCTTTTTTTTGAACATTTCGAGCCCTAACCGCCAAAATAACGTAAGCGAAATTTTTTCAAAATTTTCTTTTTGATGCAGAAATGCATCTAGATGCTCTAGGAATATTTCTGCATCAAAAAGAAAATTTTGAAAAAAATGTCGCTTACGTTATTTTGGCGGTTAGGGCTCGATTTTTCGTAAGTTTATTTTCATACGTTTATAAACAACTTTTTTTGAACCTTTATTATAAGTTTACACTTTTAGGCTTATAAAAAGCTTTCTTTTCAACATTTATTAAAAGTTTATATTTCTACGCTTATAACCAATGTTCCTTTTCAATTATATTACGCTTACTTTCAAGCGTTTTATAAACAAAAAATCAACGTTTTGTAAGCTTAATGCTTATAATTGAAAACTTAAAAAAAACTTTCTTTAAGTTTATTTTGCTTGTTGGGTACTTTATGCTAGGCACTAACACCATGTTCTGACTGACAACTAAAACACTTTGAAAACGAGTTTTGGAATTGTGGGCTGAATGCTGTTCACACCGGCTGTTAGTGTTTTCGTTGACATTTCTTACATCCTCTGATTACAGTTTTGCTACACAAATACAAAACCAAAATGCTTTTCCCCTTCTTAGCAACCTCTTGCTTTCATTCTTATTTTACTTTGGACAGCCAGTTAACAACAAATCCGAAATGGCGTAATAAAGATGATAAAATATGACTTCCACTTCGATAAATAATCGAAAAAAACTAGTGAAGACACCGATTGGAATGAGTGGAACGAAAGTTTTCAAGTAGTTTTCAGCGAAAACTGGTTTTCGTTTGACAGATTTTATATGGACGAAAACACAAGTTTTAGGTCGAAAACCAGTTTTAGCAACGAAAAAATCAGACGGATTTTATCATTCAAGCTAAATGGATCAGAACAATCTAGCAATCTCCTTTGTATAATGCAACTGTTATCTGTTCTTCCCCCTGGGGCAAAAGTGCACCGGCCACTGCATCCTTTGTATTCTACTTAATTAAGGAAAAGTCTTTTCAAATAATGATTAAACTATTTTTTTTTAATTTCGCTATTCACTTGCGATTATATTTATTTTGATTTGTTTCTGTCAAAGTAGCTGAGTAAGAACTTCGAATTTCAAGTTTTTAGTTTAGTTTAGTGCCGCTGATAGTTACGATCGGATTACAGCATACCAATTTTCGAATTTTCGGAACGGAGCTACGAATTCGTAACTACGAACATTCGGATTACAGCATAGGGGTGTATTATTATTCTGTAGATGACAAGAGAGGAGCAGGAGCATAGTTTGTCCCCCGTTTGCCCATTCTAGGTAGAATTTCTTTGTCCGTTTTATGCATACGAAGCGTCTAGAAAAAAAGCGAACACAAGTATATACATTCGTACATACATATGTACATGCAAACATCCGTATGCGTGGCACCTTTCTACACTCCGTTGCATAATTATAAATCCAGTTCAAAAGTCTTTGAAACACCCGTCACAATAAAGATAGGTAACAACTTTCTTCTATAACTTTTGCATGGTAAGAGCTCTCTAAAATAGAGAGGCTAATTTTTTTATAATCATAATCTGAATCAGTGATGAAATTGATGGTACAATTGTACTTTAGTTAATACATTTTGGGTCCCAAAAGTACATTGGTACTACATCGACATTTTTGATACAATTTTGTCAAAATACAGCATTACGACAAATTATGTAGAAATACGACTTGTAGATAAAAATGCAGTCATCTTTTTCCTACTTTATACAGGTATGTGCGTTGTGTTTATTAAAAACGAAAGACTTTTTAAAATCATCAAAAAGTTGTTGCTATGATATAAGCAACTGTTTCTTTGTGTTACTCGCACTTAATAAACATACTTGTATGGTTTTGTTGATTAACTAGAATTATTGATTATAATGGAAACTTAGGGTTCGTATGGCCTTTTTAAACTATGCATATGTACAAGTACATATAACGTTACGCATCCAAGTCCACGGACGAAATTTTTCCAGATTTTTGGTGCAGTACACACTGGCCGAACCAAAAACAAGGTATTTAATATTAACGAGTAAGTCTTAATATTTCCGGAAAGTCAACCAGTTTTTTTATACAAAAAACACTAAAAATAAGATAATAACCAATGCCTATTTATTGCTTCAGGGGTTTCAATGATTTCCTTGATTTTATAATTTCGTGAAATTAGACTTTTAGAAAAAAAAGTGAAATATTTCCAGAAGGTCACTTTTAGGTGGAAAAGGATTTTTTATTTAATTCGCTTGTTTCTACAAAAGTGTTCAAATGGCATATGTGGGAAGTTGTTGCTGAAGAAGGATTAAACAAAAAACCTGCCTCCCAAGAAAAACGTCACGTTAATGTC